CACAAGAAAAAACGAACAATAATAAACACAAAAACCAAACACGAAAATACAAATAAGAAGGTAAACGAAAAATCGAAAACAAAAAAGAAAAACCAAATTGAAAAAAACAATACTAAAACAAAAAAACAAAACCAAAAAATAAAACGAACACGAAAAGAGAAGAGAAAAAAAGAGAAAACGAAAAGAGAATAATCGAAAACGAAAAAACGAAATAGAAAAAACGCAAACAATAAACGAACAAGAAAAAGAAAAACGAAAAAACGAACACGGAAGAAACGACAAGAAGAAACGACACACAAACCAAACACGAAATAACGAAGAACGAAACGAAATAAAAAACTTTAAAAAAATAAAACCAAAAAAACGAAGACCAAAAAATCAAAACGAAAAAAGGAAACGAAAAGACTTAAAACGATCAAAAGAACAAAAAAAGCGAAAAAGCCAACATCAGAAAACTGAAAATTGAAGAACAGGAAATTGAAAAAAACGAATAGGAAAAAAGGGAAACCGAAATACGAAAAATAAAGACGAAATACGAAGACGAAAGACGAACACGAATGACGAAAAACGGAAGACGAAGACGAAGACAAAGATGAAGACGAAGACGAAAACGAAAGACGAAGACGAAAGGCAAAGACAAAACGAAAGATGACAAATCGAAGAAGAAAGACGAGGACGAAGAAAGACAAAAACGTAGACTAAAGACGAAAACCAAAGTCAAAGGCCCAAGACGTAGATGAAAGACGGTTGACGATTGACGAAGACGAAAAAACTATGGATGGAAACGACAAAAGACGAAGAGTGACGAAGATGAAGGGCAAAGACAAATGACGTAGAAGAAAGAGGAAAAGAAGACGTATTCGATACACGAAGGGAAAAGACAACGAAGAGGAAAACAAAGCATAAGACAAAGACGAAAGACGAACATGTGCGACAAAGACGATGACGAAAAAGGGAGATAAGGCGAAGCTTAATAACAAAGACGAAAGACGGAGGCGGAAGACGAAACCGGAAGAAGACGAAAGAGGAAGACGAAAGATGAAGATGAAAGGCAATGGCCAAAAGCGGAGACAATTACGAAGACGAAAGAAGAAAGACAGACAAAGACAAAGACGAAGACGAAATGCTGAGACGAAGGACGGAGAGGGATTACGATGACGAAAAATGGAGACGAATGATAGGAATGCAAGACGGAGACGAAAGACAGCGACTTAAAACGGAGACGGAAGACCAAGACGAAAGACGATGATTAAAGATGAAAATGAAAGACGAGGACGAATGCAAAAGGCGATGGCGAAAGTCGAAGGCGAAAAGCGAAGGTCAAAGACGAAGTTGAAGAAATAGGCGAAGACAATAACTAAAGGAGAATTTCATTCGATAGTTGATGTCGGAAGACGATGTCGAAAGAAGACGAAAGACGGTGACGAAACTCCAAGACGAAAGACGATGATGAATGATCAAGACGAAATGCGAAAGACGATACATGAGATGAATGGCGTTAGGTGATAGACGATAGACGAATAATGCGAGACGATAAATGAGAGGCGATAGACGTGAGATGTGAGGCGAGTTACACGAGACGAGAGACGCAAGTCACGAGGCTAGAAGCGGGAGACGCTTGTCGCGAGACGAGAGGAGCGACATGCGAGACGAGAGGTGTGGAACGAGAGACTAAACTGCATGCTAACCTCTCTCTCACCCGCCACCAATTTCAGCTCTCTATATATTTCAGATTTTTGTTTTGGGTATGTGCATCTCGTTAGGAAGAAAGTATCCACGCGTTTCGTTGATTAATTATGTTTCCGGGTGTGTCAGACTGAAAGAGGTGGCTCATGTGATCAATTAAAACTATTGCGGTTCCTCTGACTGGAAGGTTCTAGTCTCGAGTCCCGCACGACTTTTGATATTTGCTAGATAAGCTACACTATGTGATCAAAAGTGTCTGGACACGTGGCTGAAAATGACTTACCAGTTCGTGGTGCCCTCCATCGGTAATGCTGGACTTCAATAGGGTGTTGGCCTACCCTTAGTCTTGATGACAGCTTCCACTCTCGCAGGCATGTACTTTCAATCAGGTGCTGGAAGGTTTCTTGGGGACTGGCAGCCCATTCTTCACGGAGTGCTGCACTGAGGAAAGGTATCGATGAAGGTCGGTGAGGGCTGGCACGAAGTCGGCGTTCCAAAACATCCCAATGGTGTACGATAGGATTCATGTCAGGATTCTGTGCAGGCCAGACCATTACAAGGATGCTATTGTTGTGTAACCACTCCACGCAAGCCGTGCAGTATTGACGGGTGCTCTATCGTGTTGAAGTATGCAATAGCCATCCTCGAATTAGTCTTCAACATGAACCTATTTAAAACATCAATGTGCCGTGATAGTGCCACACAAAACAACAAGGGGTTCGAGCTCCCTCCATGAAAAACACGACTACACCATAACACCATTTTGGACGTTTCCGGATACTTTTGATCACTGTGTATGTCGAGTTCAGTCGCTGTCAAGAGGACAATTCTAGCGCCCGACTGCTCTCTCTGACCAATGCCTGGAAGCCATGGAGTCAGCACCGTAACACACGGGTCGCGGAGCGCCTTCCTCGTCTTTGTCACATATTACACACAGTTACGCTTGCATTACTACACGCATGAACATGCAACATGAATATGAGCGCATGAGCATTCATTTCGGCAAACCAGTCGGGATCTTACAACTTCCCCTGGCAGGGAGGGTACCTGGCGGGGAAATTGCTTACCAGCGGTTAGCGCTTGCCTGGCGCTTGCCAGCATCGGATCTAACCGTCTAGTGGGCCCAGGATCACCACCACCTCTCGAGGCAGAAACATGCACTACACTTATGGGACCTAAGCATTCGATGCTCCCGGAATCACTCATCAATCAACAAGCGGGTCGCATCAGCGGCTTTGGTTATCAGACTCGTAAGTGTAGTGCATGCTTTTATAACAACGGGAGATGGCGGTCATTTCCCCCTATTGTTGGTGACATCCGGCGCCAACCTACATGTCGGCTTGCGATGTTTTCTCTAACCAGGTATCTGACACGCGCCCGACACAGCCCTAGCCCGCGCTAACCTCATAATATTGCTCAACGTTGGGCTCCGTCTTCGAAGCAGATTCTTTTTATTAGCCAACTGCGTATCACATGAAGGACAAGAGCCTCCTGCTCGCGCAGGTAATTATTAATCCTTCTTTAATGAAGTGATAGGGTGTTGAAGTGTGAAGGGACGATCACAAATACATCCATGCCCGAAGCGGGAGACGAATCCGCGATCCTTCGATCCGAGATCGCCACGACACTCCTGCCTTAGCGATCTCGGCTATCCGGATCGACAAACCGGTAATTAGTGAGTTTTTAATTAAATTTTTAGATATTCTCCAATAGAGCACTATTACACTGGTAATATACGCAGTAACAGTTAATACTATTTTATTGTAATAGTGATTTGTGCGTTTATGAAAAACGAATGTTTTAATGTACCGCGTAAATGCTTATTGACTTGTATCACACGTTCATATGTTCACATTTTTGAGAACCGACTCCTTGCTGGCAATCGAAATGTTTCGTATCAAAAGAAGCCGCAAACTTTTGGCTAGTAAACTGGTATAATATTATACGCACATATTATAATATTTTTAATGTACATTAAACAGAAAAGTTCCGACGTTTCTTTCTCCATAGAGATTGGAAATGCTACATACTGTGACGGAAGTGAGGCGATTATAAAAACGCGTATTTTCCTTATAACTATAGTGAATAACGAAATTCCGTTGCAAACACCGATTACAAAGTGGAACTGTCCTACAGTATGATATCTTACAACTCCTGCAAGGGCGTTAGACGCTCTTTTCTGATGCTATCTAAAAGCACCGCTATGCACCGCTCTCTATCATTGCCAGTTGCCATCTATCACCGCCACAAGGACAGTTTTAAAAATTTTCTCAATTTTTTGGTTTTGGAGGAAGAAAACCAAAATATTACTTTAAGAATATTAAAGAAGAGTAAAACCTCGTACTACAAGTAAATTTTCGTTGAAAAATTTGGAGCTGATTTTAAGAACATATTGGTGGTGTGAGTGTTACTTTAAAAAAATAGACATGCGTAATTTTCGAAAAAAAACAAAAGAAAAGAATACAGCCAAGTCACTATTGTCTCATCTCCAACAGTGTATTTGGCACTATTCGAACAAAAGTCTGTCTGTCCGACGAAAAATGATGAAGACAATGAAGGACGAGGACAATGAAAGATGAAGATGATGAAGATGATGAAGATCGGCGAAATCGAATAGGTCAAAAGAAGGGAACGTCGAAGAACGACGAAAGACGATCTTTCAAACATCGTGAACGAAGGATGACGAAATAATACCGCTAAGTACATAGCGAAGGACACGAGCGAAAACAGAAAGTCAAACGATTAAGGCAGGAAACTATGGGACGATGAAAAGTGACGAAAACGAAGGCGATGAAACATTGCGAGGACGAAAGTTGGATAAGAAGGAAAAAAGGTCGGAAGATGAATATGACCTAGTAAGAAAGACAAATATGACAATAAAACGGAAGAAAACAACAGACACGAAGTATGAAATTCGTAGAAAAATTACAGAAGGCGAATGGCGAAGGCGACAAAAGTCGCATAGGACAAAAGAAGGAAACGAAATTCAACGAAAAATGAGGACGACGAAAGTCGAAGGCGATGAAAGGTGAAGACGAAACGAAAACGATTAAAGACGAAGACCGGACCATGAAGCACGAAGATACGAAACACAAAAATGGCGAAAGTTGACAAATAACGTCACATTACTGTCAACGATGACGAAGTTAAACGAGACCAAATATGGAAGACAAAGACGACGAAAAACGAAGTTGAAAAACTTGCGACGGCGAAAGAGATATCGATATCAGCACGTGCTGTTATGAATTGATTAATTCTGCATTTGGACTTCCCGCTTCCATTTTCTGTGTCTATCTTTCATGTTCATGCTACCAACTTAACATACGTGGAACGTAGGATTGGCTGGAAACCGGCGTACGAAATATCTTACACCGTGCCTGGAAATGTCAAAATCTATTGAACATTTATTTGTATCTTTATATCATTCCTTTAATTAATAACTTTAAATTATCTGTTAATGTTCATTTAAATTGGAAATACGGGAAAGTATAACGCCACGTTCAGCCTGGCATTTAAGAGTAGTAAATAAGTAAGATTTGAAGAGCCTTTGAATGCTGCAAGTAATGCAGATTGATCCACATTTTTAGAATAAGTGCAAAGGTAGATGGTCGCAGAGGGGGTCAGAAACGCATGATGTTGATTTTATAGAGTGAGGGCGATACAGAAACTTCCATGCACCGACGTGTACAAACATGTACTGTGTACGGAAATGCTGAACGACAGTGAGCCCGGCAGGGACGAGACCAGGATGTGACCAAGAGTATATGGATGCGACCGTGGTGCATGCCGGTGACCTTTGGGTGCAGGTGCATCAACGATTTGTTTGTTGTTAGTCAAGCGCCAGGTGTAAACTAAGAAGCAGGGGTCTCACGTGTACTTGCAATAGATTACTTGTGTATTTGACTTAAGTAATTAAACTCGTAGACATTACATCATCTATAATACCTGAAAATATATTTTTTTCTGTAAATTACTTTGTCATGAAGTCCTTACATTTGAAAGGTGTTAAATCTGAGTATTTATTACCTTCGAAACATGAGCATCTGGCATTTGTTCAGTAATTTGTTGACATTGCATTCAGGAAGCAAAAACATAGCGAAAGATCTTTTTAAAATGAGAAATGCTATGCATTCGTCAGGATCTGTTCTGGGGAAACTACATGGTGACCATGCATGTAGGAAAAAGCCATTCACGGTTTTTGTGGAAGGAAACATAGGCTGTGGAAAGACAACGTTTTTAAGTTACTTCAATCAGTCAGAGGCCCAGGTTATAGCAGAACCCATTGAATTATGGAGGAATGTAAATGGACACAATTTATTGGTAGGCTGTGAAAGATGTAATTGACATTCCATGTTTTTATTGAATTGAACTGAGACGAATGTTTTTTATAGGGTACATTGTATGAGGACCCGAAGAGATGGGGCTTTCTGTTTCAAAGTTACGTGCAACTGACAATGTTAGATATGCATCTCACTCAGACACAACGTTCTCTTAAATTAATGGAGCGATCAGTACATAGTGCTCGGTAAGAATGTCTGTATTGTTATTATGAATATCTTCCTATTGAGTTGCAATTGTGACATTTTCTTTGTAGGCTCTGTTTCGTTGAAAATCTTCATCGAAGTAAAATTATAACAGATGCTGAAATGTCAGTTTTGGATCATTGGTATAAATGGATCAAAACTCATGCTGATGTTGAAGGAGATTTAATAGGCAAGTTTCCAATGCACGGTTTAATCTTTGAAAAAGAACTTTTCTTTCAGTTTGTATTACACATTATCTAGAAAGAAAAAAAAATGAAATTTTGCTCATTAATCACATGCTTTGTAAACAATACTAACTGCCTGGTTATTGATAGAAACAAGCCAAAGTATTGTTAATAGTGCACCAAAATTAACATTAAATGAAAATATTTTTAAGAAGTAAATAAAGTTTGGAAAATATTACTGATGTACTATGTTTTATAATTATGTTCTCAGTGTACCTCCAGACAAAGCCTGAAGTAGTTTATGAAAGGATGAGAGCACGTAATCGTAAAGAAGAGAATTGTGTCCCTCTTTCTTACCTTCAGCAGCTTCATGAACTTCATGAAGAATGGCTAATCCAAGGATCTCGTATTTCAAAACCAACTCAGGTGAATATATTTGAAAACTGGCAAAAGGGAACAGTTGAACTCTCTTTGTTGGCAGTCAGGTTATGTAAACGCCAGTCCCAGATTCTTAGCAAAAAGGACAAAAATACTTATTTTATCTTGATATTACTTTGAAAGGGAGTCTATGTATTTGAGGTTTACATAGTATCCTCAAAATTTTTTTCAATAAATTATATTTGTAAATCCCACCATTAACTTCAACATTATTGCTTCATATCAGAGATGCACTGAAAATTTCAATTTAAACTGATCTGTAAACCCAAAATCATCTTTATTAATGGTAAAGAAGAGAATAATGCTAACAAGTATCCATAGTTTTCTAGTGATAATGACTTGTAGTAGGTAGATAATTTTCATGTAATTCACAATAGGTAGATAATTTTTTCTAGCAGTGAATCTTGTCACTGTACCAAGTAAATAGCGAAATAGAATACTGTATCTTTGGTCAAAAATAATTCTTTCTATTCTCAGTAGTTCCAGAAAATAAGGTTCTTTCTTAAAATGCCTTTAAGATATTACACAATGAGTATTAATTTATTCTGTACTAGTACGAATTAAAGGAGACAATTCCCTTATTTTAGTTGATTACTCAAAAATTCAGCAATTTCTCTGTTTGTTAGTTCAATGGTAACTTAATCGAAGAAAATATAAAATGACTGCAAAAATCATGTTTATTATATTTCAGGTGATTGTAGTGGATGCAAATCGTGACCTAGATCATATGAAAGGAGAATTTATAAGAGTGAAAACACTTATTGTAAATGAACTGTCTCATCAAGTTCATTCTGTGTCAGTGTGATTTCCCAGGATTTGCAAGAGCATTGTTGAGTCGTCAAATTTTTCAAGATGCCAAAAGTGATTGACAACAAAAAATTACATGCATTCCTTCTCTGCATCAACTTTTTATTTTACATTTTAAAATGTTTTGATTTTTTATTTGTCCAATGTAGAATTTATGCTGAATAGTATATAGTACAATGATATAATCCATGAAATAATGATGCATTTCTAAAATGTAATTAAAGTATATGTAAATAGAAATTGACTAAGTCATACACACACTTTTATTGTTAAATGATATGAATTTTATAGTAATTTGAAAGTATCAAGATCTGAACTTTGTATGATACCAAAGATGTATTGCAATATTGAGAATTAAAAACAAATTAGATCAATTTGGAACTAGTTTATGAACTTTTCTTCCCAAGAAAAGAAATTAATTCCCCAAACTATTGAATTGTATAACAGTTCATTAATATTCATCAACATTGATAAGACCTAAAAATATTTTGGGAATGTTCATAATTTCTTCTTTGAAGACAATTTTAACCAAATTAGACAAGCTGAGTTTTCATTGGAATGACATTGAAAGACAGAAGGATAAGGGAGATACGCAAAAAATATGTTGTTTAAAAAGAAGAAAACTGGAGAATGGGTTTTACATTAGAATTCTCTTTGGAAGGACATTCAGATCATTGTATCAGCCATGATGTTATTTGGAATTTTCTTCCTTTTATTAAAATGAACTGCATACAAATCTAGAAAAACAGAGGTTTGGATGATCTCTTCACACTCACCTTTGTAGCTTTCACTTTCCTGCAAAAAAGTTCACAGTTGGTCCATGTAGGCTCACAGTTGCCAATTTTTTTAAAAATATCTTCAAATGGTACATTTTAAATATTAGGTTTGGAAATATGAGATTTAGCTCTATACCAGGAGAAAGATCTGAGGCATTTGATGAATGAATTGTTCATAATTTCTTCAGCTTTGGTAATAACCATTGAAGATAGATTTTTGCACATATGGTAAATGTCCTATTCTCAGTTCAAGAATGTACTATCTTTCAGTTCTCATTAAAATACATTAGGAGTGAAAACAGAACATTGGGATACATACAGAAAGGAATTCTCTACCATAAAGGAAAGGGTCAATATTTTTTAGTAATTATTCTTTCTAAAAAACAGTTATACTATACATTCTTTCTACAAGTGGAAGGTCTCTCTCCGTTTCCTGGTAAAGGAGTTCTTCCACAGGAAGTGTTAAATCTCTTTAATAAAGTTTTTGTAATTTAGAATTATACTGAAATTTGTTAAACAATATAGCACTGAAGTTTGAAAATAAAAAGCAAAAGGATTTCAAGTAGAAAAAGACATGTAAAAAAAATATTTTATTCTAAGAATGCCTACATAGTGACACTAAGAGAGTGAAACACTGGAATTGTCGTTTCGTGCACGTAATTTAACTCTTAACTGCTTGACATGAAAATAAACAATTGCTCACTACCCTTGATATTACAATTATATTGATATGCACATACAGAGCAGAGTAGGCACTGGGGTGTCCATTAAAAAAATGAAAGTTAAGCTTCCTTGAAAAATTGAAATGTATCACTGTAAACAACACTGCAAAATAAAAAACAAACTCCTCCCCCCCCCCCCCTCAAGGTGTAGATTAGTTTCCCGTTTTCTATAATAACATAGCAATAATGAGGATAACATTTAAATATGACTTAATGCAGGAGATCATGCATTGAACACTTCTCAATCTTTTGTCAGGAAAATGTATAGCCTATAGTTTTGGGAGTTACTTAACGTTGGCTCTCTACAAAATTATATTGAATATTAACAACATTCATTATACCTTTTTATCTAAGTTGAGTTGCAATGAAAGACCAAAGGTAGTTTAAACATTGTCAGCACACTTTCACCTAAAAACATATTGTAATATGTATTTACATGGTACACAATATACATCGGTACAAACTTTGTGGGCCAGGGAATGACCAGGGCTTCGCCAGGTCCACTTTCTCTCCTCTGCACGTACCTGTCGCTGGAAGCTTGGAGCAGTGTGGTGAAGGCAATGAACTCTCCCACTGACAAGTGAATTCCAGTAATATACCTACTGACAATAGTGATTTACTGTCTGTAAAACAAATAATTTCCGTCCCAAAACTGGAGTGGGCTATCTGGATGTCCAGGTTAACAAGGAATTAAATATGCTTTAAAACCAGTGGAGAAATATTAGATCTCAATCAAGAAAGCTATCAAATTCTTTGGATGAACCTGCATCTGAAATAGGGCAGATTTCATTTTTAAACTCTGCGAATTACCACTATCAATATACTTCAGACAGAGGGGTTTGGTTGATATTTTTTCTAGCAGAAGAAGCATGGCATATCACAGTTTGTATAGTACAATGATATGTTGACCAAGCAAAGAAAGGAGTTGTTTTTTAATGCGTTTTGTCTGACTTCAAATTTTGTTTATTAGTCATGACCAAAAGTGCAGTTAGATTTTCTTTCAATTTTACTTCAAAGTTCTTTGAAAGACATTAAAAGGACCAACAAATATTAATTTAATTGTTTTTATTTCTGAATTTCTCGTGACAAGGGCCAAAAAATAAATATATAAACTGCAAATATGGGAACAGTTTGAAAGCAAGAAGCAATTTTCCTTGTGTAAGTTTGTCAAAATCCAATCAATCTTGTTCCTTTTAGGTTTATCACTGAATGTTAAACCTAACATTCCGAGTAAAAGAAAATATTTCTTTTACGAAGAAGAATGTTCATATTGTATGGATTCTGTTGGTATGGCAACACTTTATTCTAGACAGAATTGAAGGGGATGCTATAGCACAAAAAAGTGCAGGGCAAGAGTGAGGTTTTATCTTATTCCAAGATTTGGGGCATTGTTTCAGCTATTTAAGTAGTTTGGTATTAACTGGTAAAAATAAAGCTTGTTATAAAGAAATAAGTCTCCTACTTTTTTATCTTATTAAATAATTTGCAGACTAAAAATTATTAATCAAACAAAATGTCACAATTGTTTCAGCTTTTTCTTCACAACAATTTGACATACCAATTTCAAATAAACTTTCTTGTAAATTTTAAAAGGGAATGTTGTACCCACAATGACTTGTACTGTTCTAAGCCCCGGAAAGATAAGAGATTTATCCCTTTTACAAGAAATCACAGTCAAAAAATCCCATAACTGTATTACTACTGAATAGGGACCTTCCACGGGTGCATCAAAGGTAATTAAGACGAAAAACATAGAAGTTTGCATAATATGGCATATTTGGATTGTAAAGTGCACATGCAATTAAATATACATTACATTGCAACACACTTTACCAATCAAACATAACTCAGAAATAATGTGTCCTAGTGTCTTAAAACCAGTTTTTATGTCCCTATAAGAAACAAGTTATGTGCAACATACAAAATGAGACCTTTTTGGATGTTCTATTATATTTTTTTATGGTTCTGACATGGATTGCCACAAACGCTGAAAGTTGGGTTCCAATGTGAAGCTGGATACACTAGCTACTCAGAACTTTCTGTTCTATCCAGCAGATGAACTACTCTTTATCCTGCCCCAAGTAATTTGAAATTAAACACATTAAGTTTTTAATATCCATATTAGCAAATTGAGACTATTATGAGTAAAACAACAAGTGCCATTGCCATATCAAAATTTAGTATGTCACTAAGACAAACTTTCAGGTGTGAAACTGACAAATATACTCTTTGATGGGAGTTAAAAATGTCTGGTGGTTATGTACAAAGACACACTAGGGAATTTCCTCTGAGGAGGTTACAAATAGTGTCCAGTTGACTTGATATTTTCTTATAAAGAATTTTTAATTTATGATGATTATTCTGATTTTCCTGAAATAAAACAAAACTACACGTATCAAATAATTTCTTATTAACAAAATTTCTGTAGTCAACAATAACAATGTATGAGCATTTTAAAAAGACACCACAAATCTACCAGAACTTTTAAGTCTTTTATAAGCACTTCCACAAAAAGTTTCAACTTCCATTGGAGGAATTAACTTGTACCAGCAATGGTCGTAGTGCAGCCAAGCTGATGAGAAGTGCTTCTTCTGTGCGAATAGTTCGAGAGCCTTGGTCAGGACAAGTGTTGAAGTAGTAGTCAAAGAGGAGAGATGGGTCATCTACTTGGATGACAGGATCTGCTTCTAATGCTCCTTCTAAACCTGCCAGCCCTCCAAACACTACAAGAGCATGTTGATGGGTTGGCAGGCCACCAGATAATACCAATTCATCAATATTCTCTCCTTTATCAGATGTTCCCAATGTCAAGTCATAGCCACCTGAATATGGAGCCTGAGAGAAGACTGCACTGAGAGATGATGCTAATCTTACAGAATAGCCCCAGTACCTACAACAAAAGTATTCAAACATTTACTTCAACACTTGCTGTTAATTTTTCTTCCTCACCTCTGAATTTCAGAAAATGTTACATATTAATACCTAACCATTATCTAATGAAAATCTGGTGGAAAATAAGGAAGATAATGAAAGAAATAGAAAGAATATAAAGGAATTTTAACAAACAATTTCAGAAACTGGCAGGGCTACAACAGCTTACATTATTTGTAACCATTTATAATATACTTAAACATACATTTGTGAAATTTTTGAAAAATTGAAAGGTTACATCAAAATAGGGGAATCAGGGAATTAGCTTCATCCATTCAAAAAGTTTTTAAGTATATTAAGTATTATTTGTGTAGTTCTTCAGAAAATCTTGTTCTTAAAATTACCTTTATTTCACACATAATTATGCAAAGAGTACTTAAATTTTGAAAAATATAAATGAACATATTTAAAGATCTAATTTTAAGAAAAGATGTTATTAATGAAAAAAAAACAAAACAAAAAAAACAAACTATCTGTGCCCCCAAAACCAAAATCTCCAGTTCAAATTCAAGGGGTCACAACATCAGTCACATTGGAAAATACCAATTTTGTTGAAAATCCTGTTAGCAGCTTTATGTAGTTAGTATCATAGACAGTCTTATGGATAGATATGAGCTTTGCCATAATCCAACTTTTTGGTATCAAGGTTTCACAAAATTTTAATAAAAAAAATGTGGATAACTCGAGACAAAAAAATCACCAAGTGGTTGTATCACTGCATGCAAAAAGGTAGGTGCAAGGATCTTGATATCTTTAAATAAAAAAGTATTGTATTGTATTAAATAAAAAAGTATTTACCATGCTCTCGATATGAATTAGTAATAGTTATTAACATTATCAAGCTGATAAACAGCAAATAACCAACTTATTAGTTAATTGTGTTATTGGACGTGTTTCATACAACTCTTTTTGCAATAACCATCTTAAAAGAAAAAAATCTTACAAAAAAGAAATACCATTTCTAGGAACAAGTTTACTTGTACTCCTTCACTAACTAGAATTCTTTTGTTTCGACTGTTCTAAACGAACAGCAGACTTAAATCCTTAATGAAAGCTGGCTGTTACTTTTTTGTTCCTCGGATTGGTGGCATTATGTTGATATTATAACAGTACAGTATTAAAAAAATATGAGGGGGCTGGCCTTTTGTTCCAGTTGATATAATTGCACAGTTTTATGAACTTAAGTAACAATGTTTTAAAAAGGTTAAATGAAACTATAACAAGTTGTTAAAAATAGTTTAATTTAAACAATTTTGACAAGTTGTTAAAATAAATATTATTTTGTTGTTTCTTGCGAAGCACTGAGAATTATGAAACATATTCAGCAAAGTGGATGAAAATAAAACAAGTTTGTAGTCAAAACTCCAACTGCAATGATACAAAAAAGCACCACACACAGGCAGTAAAGTGTGCAAAAGATCTCATTGTCTGTTGCCTTTGAGGGACAAGGGGGAATAACAGTTTTCTGTGTTATTTATATATAATTACAGCTAATCATTAAATAAAACATAAATATTAGTTTTTGTGTTACTGTGTGAAACAACCTTGCAATACACGGTTGAACAATAACTGTATGAGTATGTGTATATTAATGAACCATGAATTAAAAAGAAAAAGAGATCACTTAGAATAATATACTGCAATGATTAAAACTAAGCAAAATTTACAATAATTTACAATGGATTTAAATCTGATTTATGGTAATGATTTTTAGAAAACCTCTTATACTGAAATTTTAATGTTCTACCACAAGAATTCTTCAAAGAGCATTTGACACACTCAAGTTTGCGGAGTCCACACCAATGTGTATCAGTTTCTATACCACACACAAACATTTTTTAAAACTTACTTTATCTCTCTTAAATGAAGCAAGAATTTTATCTACTAAAAAAGTCACAATTTTTCATAGTAAAAATAAATAAACAAATAAATATAATTTACAAATATTTATAACAAAGAAACCAATCTTTTGATACATACAATTTATTTTTCCCTGCAAGGTAATAAGACCATTGTTTTGCAAGTTTCTGTCAAAACTTCATCATTCAGAAAACAATTACTATTGTGGAAGACAAAGTTGGAAGCTAAAGGTACTCATGTCTGTTTTCTCTTCTGCACAAGATTTTAGAAGACAGTGAGTTACAGTTGAGTAAAGAAATGAAATCTGAGATAACTTAAGGGAACTCATTGTTTGCTTTCACAAGTCACACTTTCCAGAAGAGGTTGTTCACCATAATAGGATCAAAATTCCCTTCAACCCTAAACACTGAAGAACATGAGTAACTCATCCATATTTTTTTAGACTCCAGATTAATTGAAGTTTGATTCATCACCACTCATTGAGTTCTAGAGTTTAGTGAAAAGGGAATATCTAGAAATAGGTAAAATGGTCCTACGAGTTTTGATTCCTCTCGCAACATCTTACTTATGTGAGGTAGGATTTTCAGCATTGGCAGCAATAAAAAACCAAATACAGATCGAAATTGAACTTTGAAAAAGAATTGCAAGTCGCACTTTCAAATATTGAACCCAGATTTGAACTATTATTGATGAAGAAGCAAGCACATCCTTCTCAATAATTTTTAAAAGTGTTTTATCATAGTATGTGTTATGCATTATTTTAATAACTAATTAGAATGTAGAAATAAAATAGTCAATTATATCACTTATTTGTGTTGCATCTTTGGTATGTGTATATTAACCTTTATATTTGAAACTTATTGTTTCCAGGGAAGCCACAGGAAATTTTGTTTCGGTCAAGAGAGCCATGGACAAAAAACGTTTGAAAACCCCTGGTAGAGAGCAAGAGAAAATGTGAAAGAGCCTAAGAAGGGAGAGAGGAGTATGGGAAGATTGCATGCATTTAAGAACTGACTAAAAAGCAGATTTGACCAGTAATTGTCAATGTTGAAAGCTCTTAAATTCTCACCTGCCTGTGACAGCCTCTGGGGTCTGGGGAGTTACAACACAACCCTGCATCTTTTTAGAGCCCTCTTTCGGAGGAAGAAGTTTCACAGTCACTCGCAATCCTGCTTCCAGTTGCCGATCAATCAGGACATCTCGGGTCAGACCCACATTTACAAGTGAACCACGACCTTGTTTAGTAGGCTGGTTACTGACAACACCTTCCCTGTAACAGAATTTTCAAGAAGTTATCAACATTCCAACAAAGAATTTACATAAAATGCAATGTTCATATTTAAAACAGTCAATTTACAAAGCACAAGAAAACAATTGATGAATTTTCTTGTTTCTTGAATTTGCTTTCTACACGAGTTATTTTCATTAATTATTTTATCTACAAGTGTTATGCCTTTGAAAATTTTATACTCTTCTATTCTACACTTTATAGTATGTACTTCATGCTAATAGAAAATTTGAACACTGCTCAGGATGCATATCTCTGAGTGTGCATGCACACAGGGTCATATGTAGGACATGTGCATGTGAAAAACTAAGAGGTAAACTCTGATGTACAATACAACGCAATGTGAAAAACCATTTTGTTGAAGACTGAGAACTAACTGCAAATTATTTTCTAGTTGAAAGTCTTTAAAGAAATCCTTCAGAACTTTCCTTATGAGCAAGGAAAGTGAAATGCAAAAATTCATCCGAACCATTGATAACTCAAAAATTTCAGATAAATTATTAGATGCCACTCATTTCCGATCATTAGCTCCATTTCTCTACAACCTTCCTACTATCCTGGAAGAATAACATTTACATTTAATTTACTCAAATTATATTTACACCCTTTAAAAATTATTTGAAGATGAGGCTTAAGGCAAAAGAAAAACGCAGAAGCATATATAACATAAGTGCTCTTTTGTATTTGTATGTAAAATAAGGATTATCTTAATGACAAAATTTGTAATTGAACAACAGATTATGTGAATGGGAAAATTTACCTTCTCTATATTCTTATTTTTGTCTATCTGTTCTTTAATAAACATTACATACAAATATTAATTTTGGAAATACAAAATAACATTAAAATGTGGAATGGAATGGGATAAGTCTGAGGATTTTCCTTACATTACTCGATACATTAACAGCACAGACTTAAAAAAGTAAATTCCTTAATTTCTTGAATATTAAGAATACAAATCTTAAATTCCCATTTATCTTCTTTGATTATTTACAATTTTCTTTATTAAAAATATTTATACACCTGCATTTCAATGTCTTAAGTGGACCAGTATAAAATAAAAATCATTCTTTTTTTTCCTCATTTTGATATTAAGAAAGAAATTATAAATAATAGTTTTTATGAATATCTTATCACACATCTGCTGACAATCTGAGACGTAGCTTGATTTCTTTTCAAGGTTGTTCCTCATCTCATTTACTCTTAAGATCATAATGACAATAACAAGCATTTTTTAAAAAATTCATAGATATAAAGAAATATCTCATCACAATCACAGAAAAAATGTTTTATTTAAATTAAGTGCTACTGTGTGTAAGCCAGAATCAATCGAGACACAAAAAATAGGTTTAGAGACGTTTCCATTTTATGCAAGGTTGTCAATTTTATGACACTACGATATTGATGAGTCAGCACTGAAAGTAGTAAATTAATGACTTTAATACAATAATCAAAATGCTTTACTGTTTAACGTACTTATGGAAGATATCTGGGTACTCTTCAATGACAGCTTCTGAGTTGAAAAACACACACCTTACTGGCAGTATTCGGACAGCCTTCTGACTCTTTCAATGTACAATGTGTCACAACCCAATACTATAACCTGATACCCTCACATGGCCTTGAGCAATGCATATCCCACACAGCGGTTACGATTTTTAACACAGGGAAGAGACATGTGAATAGTAGCCAGGCCTGTACACCTTCCCACACTCAGAGTCGGAAAACGAATTGAAGACGAATTTGATGCTGACAGCTGAAGCCTCTTTCCTTCAAAATCTGGCTTCCACAACAAAATCACAGGTCACAGACATAGAGAATTTAAAACAAGCTTGCAGCTGCATTCATTTCAATAAGAACATCTTGCTTTTTTTCTGCCATTTGCATTAAATTCATAGGGATTTGTTTTTTTCAAGATTTTTGAAGGACATGAAAATCCGTTCCATTTCCAGAGTGTAAAATTTCATTTCACTTCATGGGCTGGAGAAATTTTTCGGTTAAAGCAGATTTCTGGCTTGAACAGGTTCTAGTTTAGACAGATTTTATTGTATTTCCAATTTAACACTAATTCAAAAAAGTAAACAACTTACCGAAAAGGAAAGTCATCATCTTGGCGAAGGTGATGAGGCGCATCTAAAGGATTCAGTAAACCTGCATATTGAAGATCTTTGTGTAAAGGGAAGAAAAATCGCCTCAAATATTGAGGACACTCCAAGTATTGAAGGATGCGTGCCATTTGTACACATGATCGGCGAATTGGAGTTTTATGATCCACGCCACTATCTGCTGCAGGTTCTATTTGAAATGTTACATCATTAGGAGCACATGTACCGATGTCATCAAACACCACCACCTTAAAACAAAAAATTTAATCATTTTCCACTTATTACATATACATAGAAACATTCATTTATTAAGGGATCTTAAACAACATTAACTTATTCATCTTAACATTCATTCTTAACAATCTAATAATTCAACTCATTCATACATGAACTGAAAGTTCACCTACTCTATGGGAAAATAAAAGCCTAATACAAACATACTTTGATTTTTCTGTATACAATCCAAGTATATTTACAGTGAATCTTCCATTACAGCAATGCGACATTTGGCAAGATATTTCATCTTAGTACTAATAAACCAAATTTGAAAAAAATATTTATGACATTATCTCACATGTAAAATACAATAAATTATTACCAATATTACTAATGATACCATTTTTTACCGATGTTACATTTAATGTAACATCAAACATTTAATGTAGTGTTTAACAAATGAAAACATTTAAATGTAATTAAGAATACACTAAAAAACTATTAGGAAGAATTTTTGTTTCAAGCCTCACCCATCAAGAAAACTTGTGGCCTGTGTTTTCATTGTACATTAATTATTTGGGGATCAAATTTGGATTCCAAGCAGATATCAATAAATTCATCACCAAAACAATTTGTCTAGGGATCAAGAGAATGTAATGGATTCCCTTAACAAAACATAACTAGTATACAAACTCAACATTACAACACAAATGTAAACATTCTTCACAACAATCATAAGAACAATGTAAAAATAATTCATTGAACATAAGCTTGAGATCATCATGAAAGAGATTTGTACGAGTTTCTTAAAACCTCAAAGATATTCCATTCCTGTGTTAATTATTACAACTTTGTACGTTGACTGAACTGCAGTTTTCAGATCTTGCAAAGCCCAGATTATGAACAGTTAATTTTACTTACTTTTGTATCAAGAAACACCAGCACCCACTCAGTGGTAATGCCACCTGAGAATTCTGAGAGGTGCCCCTCTATTAAATGAGGAAGGGAAACTTTACTCAATGAGTACATATCACAATAAAGCTTCAGAAGCAACTTTACTAAAAAGCTTGCATTTTAATTTTGGAGAAACAATATTAGATCAGTCATCACAACTTAGTTCTATCACCACTAGTTGCACATCAGAGGGCAGTTGTGTCACCTTTTCTGTGTGGAATAATATGTTTGCAACAAGTGTAGTTTTTGACAAATTTGTATTTTTCAAGAGTGCCACTTTTAAGGACATGTGTTTCAATATTTTTATTTGAACGCATAATTTTACTTATAAAAATACACATGTATATCTTGATATAAACATTATATTGAAAGGAAGATTTAAAATATGCAATACCCATAAAATACATATTAATATCACTATCGAGATTAGGGTCCCATATTGGATATATATGATTAACTCTAGAAATACAATTGACAAAAGGGGAGCAATAACAACAAATTTACAGCTCCTGATGACACCTCTAAATTAACACCTTGTAACAATTGTTGGCCGTAATTCCCATTTTGGTGGTTTGAAGTTAAACTGCGGTAGTTATTTAGTTTTCATTTATTGAATTAATGTTTAGCCAATACTTTTGTACAATATATGTTTAAAAAATCAAATACAATGAAAACTATTTTGTATTTGATAATGGAGGGCTGTGTTTATAGAACCGCCAAGTGAAAATGTGATGCTTAAATTTAATTTCACCAACTTGAACGGACCATTCCTAACCTCATCTGAATAGTAATAACTAAACATCAGAAGTGCTCGTTTTCACACCAGCAAACTACTAATTACTGCTGCAAGGTTATTACCTCATCCACTTTGAAAACGCACGCCGCACGTGCTATTTGGCCAGCAAGATAGGTTCTTAATTCTGGGGACTGAGCATTTTCCAGTATAGAACTTGGTATGGCAATGCTGAGAGTAGATCTTTTAAAACTGCGAACGTTTTCCTCTTGGTTGTTTTGGGCTGCTTCAGCAGCTTTGGCCGCTTTTTCCAATTTAGCAACTTGCCTCAACATTTTCATTTCCTTTACTGCCTTACGTGATTCTTTCATTTTTTTCCACGCGGTTTTGTCCATTGGTTTATCACGTGTAGGTGGCATTTCAAAGTATCAAGAGGCGCCGAAATATCTTCAGCGTTAACAAAACAAAACGATTTGAAAATCACCAGCTACCATATAAATGAATTCCACAAATGACACTATCACACTTTACGCCACACAGCACAGTCCTGATCAAGTCTTTGCCAGGTCTTCACTATCTGTTCACTATTTCCTCGTGTTACGGTGGTCCTCCGTGGTCTATACCGATAGACCAAGCTATAGACAACATGTGAGTCTAACCACGGTGTAGTTCAGGTGTAGTCTAACTAAAGCTCCCGTAAATATCATCCATAATACCCATAAAATATTGATTGCGCCGCTAGCTTATAGTGCCTTAGGTTACAGGTTACAGGTACGATATTTGCAGGAACCATGATGTAAGAACATGTATTAGAACTCCTAGGACAAAGATTGACTGCTGCCAACATTATTGAATTGTGCGTGAGATCTTTGCGTGGGACTGGTGTTGGCTGTCAGGCACAAGCCGTACCTGGTGGCTCGGCTTTTGACTTAGATTTAGATTTATTTAGTCAAAAAATAGTAAAAACTGTAGTGTTTACGCTGTTTTTTTCACGCAGCATTGCATAACTTTCTCTCTTGTCCGTAGCGAGAATTTAAACTAATGCTGCTTAACTGCACATAATTTCTCGCAATATTATAATGTTATCATTATGTGCGACAGGACGCCCATTTAGATTTAGATGTAGTCAAAAAACAGTAAAAACTGTATGAGACTTAGGGGGAAGAAGATTATCTGCGCACCTTTTCTTGAGTTCCAGAATCACGTCATTTTAACTATAAATAGTTGAAAGATGAGTAAAAGTTTAACATAAATAAAAATAAATTTTAAAAATCGCAAGATTAGTAATATTTGAAAAATAGTCATTTTCAAATTTATTGTCTGAGTTATAGAAAAAGTATTTGCATCGATACACGAATTGCAAGTATGATTTTTCTGTATTGCTAACAAAATAACAACTCGCATCTACCCTTACTCTTACCATTACAAGCAAAAGGAGAGTTCAAGAAAACGTGAAGTTACATTTACGTCCAGAAGCAAAACAAGGGGCAATCTCAGCATTTACTCAATGGATCAGGGAAACTAGACAAAAATCTAATCGAGATGGGGGTTATTGACCCGGAAGCTAAAGTACATTATTTGATACAAATATATTAAGTCTTTTAAAAAAAGGATACAATACAAATGTAAACTAATTTATTATATATCACTGTTTTGTTAAAATAAACATTAATTTTCGTTTTGATAATCAGTATAATCTCATTTATGCTTCATTAATTTTTAAAACAGAAATTGCGCGAAAACTACAAAACTTGTACAAACAATTGTACAATAACTTATTTAAAGAGCCAATTTTGTACAACAGACTGTGTGTGGCAAAGATCTCTATCTTCAATTTTGTATTTTTGATTTTTTGGCAATTTTGAAAAAAAACGTGCAATACCCGAAAATGGGACCAACACCAAATTTTTTATCATATCTTATTACATTTATGTAGAAAAATAAAAGAAAAATCTGGAGCAGTTTTTAAGGGGAAAAAAATCATAAATTTCAAGCGCAAAATTACGAACAACCTCTCGTTAAAAAAATGTGCGTGACCTTTTTAAAATAACTAATTTTATACAACATACATTGTCTGAGGCAAAAATCTCTATCATTGATTTTGTAGTTTTAAAATATTTGTTTGCAATTTTCGAAAAATTTGATATTTTCAAGAAAATGAGATCAGCACCAGTCTCTTAAACGTCTTTTGCACTATTCAACAACAAATTTAATAAAAAATAGGAGTATTTTTTTGTTGTAAATTTTGAAAATCTCCGTGGGGCTTCATGTAAAGTAGCCCCAATATTAAAATATCGGTTTTAAATCAAATTCCGGGAGTTGCGACATCAGCGAGAACGATTGTGGAGTATCAATTTTGGAGAAAATCGGCTGAACGGTTTATGCGCGTGTTGTGCCCATACGGACGGGCAGAAACGTTTTGCCGTCAATCGATTTTTCGGTATCAAGGACCCACAAAACAGAGATTCTTGTTACACCACGTGTTAGGGGATTCCCCCCCCTAAATTTTGCAACTGCCATTTATCCACTTTTTCGTTACCAGGGCTGCTTAAGTTTTTTTGCCCAAATTTTGCTGTTTTTTCGGCAAGAAATACATAACTTTCTCATCTTAAGATGTTCCTTCTTAAACGCGAGAAAAAAATAAGATGGTTATTTCATGTCAATAGTAGGTAAAATGTTCCTCTCCTCTCATCTTCGTAAATCGCAATTCACACGTCTAAACATTTCCCTGTCAATCTCAGATGTTTCACGTGAAAACGTATGTAGATTTTCTACATTTTTGCAATCATGTAAACAACCCACTAAAGGGCATATAATAGCTCTCAATAAATAAGTTGTCATTTACTTGTATTGCCTAAATGTGTTGTACAAACGCAGCGTAATAATAAGTATTATGTACGAGCCACTAACATTTTGTGGATCTTTAGGACTTTATTTGTATAAGAGCTAAACCTTTATTTTTGTAAAAGCCAAGCCCAAATATTACGTAGGTCACCAAATCAACTGTTTTCTTTTGTCATCAGGTCTATCAAATGATGTCCTAATTGTATTGCAAGAAATGACATCAAATGTTCCTTAAAACTTGCCAAGCAAAATATATTGAAAATACGTTTCATAAAAAATGTTCAATAACATTGAAAACATTGGGGATAAGAAGTAATATTTTGCGTGACTTGAGTATTGAAATTAAACCATCAAAATTTGAATTCAGCACAGGTAAATGCAAACATTTTTTAAACATATCATAAATAATGCAATATTTATTTATACTTTAAAATCATAATATATTTATTACAATTAATTGATTAAAAATTAATAGTTAAATTCTATTAAATTCTGGTAAACTTGTTAATGTTGAAAGTTCCTCCACTCCGTGAAAAATTACGAACAGTTTTGGGACTGTTTGTGAACATTTTGAATTTTCCCCCCAAACGATTATTAAAGTTTAATGTAGGTAACATTTCTTTAATAATAAATACAAGTTTCTGAAATAAATATTTAAAAAATTGACTTTATAAAAATATACGAAGTTACTTCTTCGTTAATAGCATAGGGGCTCGAAATTTGTTGGCACTTTTCATAACCGATTAGATGGCACGTGGAACCAAATGTTTTATATATTTCATTATAAAGCAGAACCTTAGTAGCATTGCTAAGGTCATGATGATATTTACTTCGAACCGTTTAAAAAAACAAAAGGTAACGACTTGGCGTGATCATAAAATAGTGCTTTTGTTAAAATGTATTTGACGATACAATTCTCATCCACAGTCTAAATAAAGCGAAATAAAGCAAATATCATTGTAAATAACAAATGCGATAAGACACACGCACCTCAACAAACGCAAAATGCAGCCGAAATGTGGTATTTCTCTAAGAACCGCTTACGCGCGTAGCAGTTGCCACCCAACACTTTCCCGCCAAACGTTGTGACGTCACTCTGGACATTCTATACAAAGTGTAATTGTAGAGGCGCCGGCTGGTGTCGCCTGGTCCTTTTTGCGCAAAGTTCGCCAAATTTAAATGACTAAAAATTGGTTAAATTTGTAGGAAATACGAAACACGCGGAAATCAAGCATTAATAATTATGATATGAACATTAAAAATCAGTGTCTATTTAAAGAGCCAAATCAGCCAAAAATGTATATTTTTTTAAAATGTATAATTTTTCAAATATTGCTAATCTCGCGATTTTTTAAAATTTATTTTTATTTATTTTAAACATTTACTCATCTTTCAACTATTTATAGCTAAAATGACGGGAAGGCATTCTGGAACTCAAGAAAACATGCGCAGATAATCTTCTCCCTCCTACATTCTTACAGTTTTTACTGTCTTTTTAACTGAATAAATCTAAATCTAAATGGGCGTCCCGTCGCACATAACGATAACATTGTAATATTGCGAGGAATTATGTGCAGTTGACTTTCTCGCTACAGAGTAGCTATAGCGAGCTTTCTCGAGAGAGAGAGAGTTATGCAATCCTGCCGGAAAAATAACACCGTGTTTTCGACAGAAAAACTCTTATTACAGGGAACTGGTAACGAAAAAGTGGATAATATCAGTTGCTAAATTTGATTCAGTTGCTAATTTAAATTTCGAAGATCCATTCAATTAGCGTTGGCTAACTTCGTCCTGATCCACCACATCACTCTTTCAGCTAGTTTTCCAGACTTCTGCTCAGTAATCTTGCTGTTTCTAACGATTCCTGCGGAGCGATCGTTTCCAAAATTGAAAATAATCAAAAAGTATCTGCGAAATTCGATGGGACAGGACAGTCTGGCAGACCATAGCATATTATCCATTCACAGTTAAGTGGCGAAATCGTTAAAAGCGAACCTGGGCGACGTTGTAGATAAAGTTCGTCAAAGCGAAAGAATTCTAGCGGCCGGCTGCTCTGATCGGTAGTTTTCCGTGGTTTCTCCGATCATTAGGGAATACCGGCGGAGTAGGCGGACAAGCCACAACAAACGAGCCACGGGCCGGCGCGATATTTTCTTCCTCTTCCTTCCCATATCCTCACCCTTTTCTTACACACACTTTGACGCGCCATTTTTTTTATACATTACATGCCGAGGACTTAGAGCTTGTCCCGACTGGGGCGGTGTCCCGCTGGTGGGAGATACTACCTGGTTGGGGGAAAAGTCCGCAAGCCATCGGGTAAGTTGGGAAGATCACAGCACCTTCCGCGATAAAGAGATGCACTACACTTACGGGACTAATGACCTTAGTTGTTAATGCCCCCGAAATCTTCAATAAACCTAAACTGAATGCTGGCATTGGCTGTTTTAAAACTAAACCAAAATTATTCAATACATGCCACTTAAAATTGACTTACCCTTGTAAATGTAAAAGAAAAGAAAGAAAAACAAAAAGGAAAAGAAAAGAAGAAAAAATACTGTTGTTATAAGTAAATTAAGAAAAGTATCTAAATCAATTTTCATGATCATAATCTAGTTGGATTAGAAAAATTGCCAGATACATTAGTCAACATATACACAAAGAAGTTTACTTGCTTCATGAGTTATGTGGTAAGTTTTGTAAGGCAAACAAAATGTAAAATCTCTCATAACTTAGCCATATGTTCCATGTCAGTCTTCCAGTTCCACTGAACACCCATATTCTCTCTGCAGAACACTACCAATCAATGAAGTTTTATCTTATTGAAATATAAAATTATTTGAACTATGACAAACTTTACGCATTTAGAGTAAACTGAAAGATTAAATTCTACTGTAGTTTTCAAAAATGCATTTCTCACAGAAACAAATTTCACAATATATCTTTACAAAATCTAAACGTGCAATGTTTATTGCAAATTTGCAATGCAATGTAAATTTACTTGCTAGTTTTAATTTTCATATTTTTGCAATT